ACCACCCTCTTCCGTTAGTCGCCTCCCTGTTGGGTATTTGATAATCCCTACGGGTGTACTACTACTACTTCTACTGCTACTACTACTACTACTACTACTACTACTACTACTACTACTACTACTGCTGCTACTACTACTACTACTACTGCTGCTTTTTTCCAGCAGAAAAGGTGTTTAACCTTGATTGTTACAATAAAGGATTTGTGCTTGCAGCATGGGAGGAGATCGATGTGATAAATATTGTCTCCACAGGAATAGAAATCCCCTCCCGAGGAGTCACAAGAGTACTTAAGCACAGAAGTACGTGTGAAGGTAGTTTTTTATATAGGAGACAAACGTACTGTTTTCAATGTAGAGCTATTTTACCTGATTTAAATGCGTTAAATTTAATTTGGAACCGAATGTTTATCTCCATTCTGTCATGACGATATACAACGCGAACACTTTGGTGTTAGCAAATATATTGAGTGAAGCGTCATGGGTTGAGTCAAATGTTTTGAGTGGGTTGTCGTTCTGAAATACGGAATCACCGACAACTGCCTGTAAAACAAAAAAATGGCGCTGTATATACCCAAGCAGTGTGTTTACACCGTAATATGCCAAATCCCAAGCTCTCTGTTGCCCCAAAACTTAAAATACATTCTCTTTGTAGATTTCTATCGTGCTTTCTGCACGAAATATATTGCCACACATCTTTTGAATATTGTAGCAACCGCAAATTTTGTAACCTGTAATTGTAGATTTAATTATTTAAACATGCCATCCGACAATGACTAAAAAGTACTATTCTATGAATATTAGCTTCCGCGGTGATGCGGCGGTCAAATCAGCTGTTTCAGTCAGAGGGGATTTATTGTCAGTTTATAGCCTCTGATTGAGAAATCAGAATCTAGTAATTTCCAAATTCATGGTAGAAAAACGCTAAGCGCCAGACAGAAGTACCATCTTTCAAAGTCTCTTGGTATGACGCGGCTGGGGATCGAACCCGGGATCTTCCGCTCTACCACAAGTCCACGCAGGCCGTCTGTGATAAAGACTAAATCCGGCGATAATCAACCAAGATCATGATTTATTCTTGGCAATGCTTGTCATACTAACATGCCTGTTAGATCCCTGTTGGGATATGTCAAACAAGTGCGTTCTATGAACACAATGTTATCGGAGGAAGAAGAATAGAGTGCGGAAGTTAATCAAATACATGTAGTTGCCTTGTGTTATAATATCAGGGGCATTTCTGAAAAGAGTACAGAAAATATGAACATATACATTGCATTCGAACATTCGATCTCTACCCAACAGAAGCAAACTCGGACAAATGAATTTGACAAAGGCAATTGATATGTGCTGCTTGAAATACTCACGCAATTTTTAAATATTCAAGACAATTATCCAAAGGCGTCAAGGTTGACCGTGTCACGCTTACCATTGCCTTTCATACACGTTTGGCAGAGAAGGATGCATTTGTGAGTGAGTTGATGGAGAAGTTGGACTGCTGCTGCCCAACAACAAGGCATAGTAACTGAGAAACAGTCTGAACTGGACGAGCTCCATAGTCTGGTTGAAACATGCATCAACCATGATATGTATCAACCAATTAACGAGCCTGACAACCCGATCCCGTTAGTCGCCTCTTACGACAAGCAGAGTCGCTTTTTAGACAAGCATGGGTTGCTGAAGACCTATTCAACACCGGATCTTCAAGGGTCCCGTGTGTTTCAAATTTGTTTTACTGCCGTGCTATCATGTTCATGTATGCAAAACAAGTGGAACAGACCAACGCAGACTTTCCGACAAGTGTTGCTGAATTTACGATATCCAATGTAATTATATTGCCATTAAACACATTGTGACATTTACAGGAAAAGCATGACTCTACACAAAGAGAAAATGCGCAATAGATTGACTGATCGTATGAATAGTACCACTCGTCCCAGTGCTATCATACCAGGAAAATGTGGGCTATCTATTTACATGTCAGTGTAAACGTGACTTCAGGGAAAATATTATTTTTATATTGTGCTTGTCGCCACCTAGTATTAATTTAGAAGTCTATATTTCGTAAATAACAAGTTACATATCTGGTCACAAATCCTTAACAAGACTGACGCAACTCGTGAATTATGTAGTTAGTTTTTTCCCCATCAGGATGGGTACAGTTAAGACCACGAACACCCGGTGTCTAATCATTGACATGGTCAGTTAGACCCCGAGACGCGGGGTCCGAGTGGCCCTACCTTCTCAACCATGGCTATTATCCCATGCACTTAAACAATGTCTTTTTAACATTATTTTGATGATTCTCATATATATTCTAAACGTCTATGTTTGACAACCTACGTTCGTTAAATGTACAGATTTTGAAATGTACAAAACGCAAACAGTCCGATTTTTACTATCCTATATTACTAAAATATCAGTGACAACATTCACACCTACCTCTTCACAAACACCTAGTATCATCACCACTTGATAGTGATTCATAAATACAAACTAATGATGTAGTCAGCATCATACAATGGAGATTTGTTATTAATAATATATATAATGAAAATGTTTATTTAATTATTTCCATGTCTTTGATAGCCTTTCAACGCAGACACCTGCCAGCCACACAAATTTGTTCTGATACCAAATTAGATGCCAGAGGTTAATAAATATTTCAAGACCGAGACATATCTGTTCCATGTGAAAGTAATGTAACATTTGCATATACTTAAACAGACTTATCTAAGAACTGTCTAACGTCATGACATGTAGTTGAATTAATAACCAAAAAATATCGGATGATGAACAAAGATAGTTATTGGATTATGAATACTTAATTTCGGAAGGAATGTACAAACGCATAACCACATATGTTCAAAGCTTAGAGTAATAATAATTCATAACAAAGCAGCTAAACTAAATATATTTATCAAACATGCTGATTGATCAGTTGATAAAGGAAATATTGTGAAAAGTTATGTAATAAGTATTTATAGAAACACTGGTTAGTCTCACACTGAATATACAGACGACAATTTTATTTCAAAGGAATGTGAAAAAGCATAACCAGATATGTTCAAAGCTTAGAATAATATTAATTCATAACAAAGCAGGTAAACTAAATATTATTATCAAGCAAGCTGATTGATCAGGTGATAAACGAAACTTTGAAAAATGTGGTAGAATGAGGATTTACCCAAAAGCCATTGAACACGCAATAGCTTTTGATGAGCGTACTTGTGAAAAGAGCAATTGCCCTAAACCTTTTTAACCATCATGATAGTTCTGTGAAAGATATGTGTCCCCTTGTGACAGTTCGGGTTCGAACCACCTTGGAGTAATGAATCAGAAAGCGAAAAACGCAAATGTGCACACTGCGCCGAAACACAATCACTGTTGCTGGACACATGCTGCACGTGAAAAGCTAGATCCCGGGTTCTTTAAAAGCACACACGAAAATGGCCATCGGTCAATATGCCAAGAGTCGACCAAGCCAGCAGGAACCAACCGACAAGGGGCAACTCAAGTGATCGTCGCCAGATGTATTAACGTCAATCCATGCACGATAACTCAACTGTGGCATCGTTTCAACCTTTTAGTTCTTTTGGGACCCGTCAACGCCGCTGTGTTTTGGAAAGGTGTCGCTTTGGAGGAGGAGGTACAATGGTATGGGATGTACCATCAATTTTTATTCGAACAGTCGGTGGTTATCCAAGGCAAGCTCAATGTTCGAGATTATGTGAATAATACCCTTCGCCCAGCACTATTGCCGTTACTGGCTCAACATGGCGCCCTACATCATCTTGTCTTCCAGTATGACAATGCACGTCCACAAGGTTCACGGGAGACTTTCTGACCAGGAACAACATACTGCCATGTCACCTGACATGAATCCAGTTGAACACTTGTGGGACGAGCTTTGACGGAGGGTTGGAACTCAACAGCAACCGCCTCAGACAGTGGCAGAGTTGACACAGTCCCTACAACACCAGGGACGGTCGGGTAGCCTAGTGGCTAAAGCGTTCGCTCGTTACGCCGAAAACCCGGGTTCGATTTCCAACATGGGTACAATGTGTGAAGCTCTTTTCTGGTGTCCCCCGTCATGATATTGCTGGAATATTGCTAACAGCGGCGTAAAACCATACTCACTCACCCCCACATCACTGGCAGAACATTCAACAACGTTTCCTGAGTTGTCAGTCCATGCCTCGGCGACTTCAGGCATACGTCAGTGGACATGGTGGACATACCCGCTATTGATCCTCGGTGGTCCCGGCTACGTTCTGACCCTTTGTGACGTCATCCACGGGCGTGTTTCTTACGGACTTTATTGCTAACATTTCATGTGATGGGTGTGTTTGTCATTTTGGTTGGTTTCATTTGGTTTTCTTTCACTGTAATAAAATACACACTTTCTGAAGACTGAATTGCGTTTTCAATGGCTTTGAGTATATATGGAACAGGATAAAGAGAAATAATTTACAACATAAACTTTACATGTTATACTTGATATGTGCAAATACACACCGACTGATCTTATACCTGCGAATAATGGTACTATATGAACAATCTGAAACACTAGCTTGTGTGTTGTCTCTAGGCGTTAATGTATGGATCGTCTCCACTGACCAAGTTGACGTACGAAGGTCCTTCACTACTGTGTATGTGACCGTAGCTATGCTCGTCACCGTCTTCACTTGCATTACGTTGTATTACATTGTAGATATTTCTTTCAACATCATGGCTGAGGCCAGAATATGTGTTGGTGGTTCCACTGGTGGGAATAAGGTCATCTTCTCCCTGGGGTCCATTAGGGATGCTCTGCACACCATAATGAACTGACGTTTCAGGATTAGATGAATTACCGTGCGAGTTCCTGGATACCTTGTTTACCATGCTGCAGCAATAGACGTTTTGCATACAATCATTGTATAATATTTACAAGGTTGCATTTTGACTTCATAGCCAAGTGCCATGATATCACAGTTATAAATCAAACAGTTTGATGTACTTACATATATATGATGAGCGCCACGATGATGAGACCCATGATACCACACACCACTGCTAAGGGTAAAACAATACTTCCATTGTCTGAAACGAGATACATGAACATTTAACGCGAAATTTTCTGCTTTTGTCTGTGCCTTCATTGCACAACTTGGGCTTACAAACACAAGATCGCGCGTGTATACACACTCATGCACACTTATTTCAATAATTCGTATAACAATGTCATTGGTTGTCGTTATTACATGTACATATAGATACATTGTACCTGTGTGTGTTGATGACAGGGCTGTAGAGGTAAGGGATGAGATTGTGTCGGTTGATCCCTGAGCAGTAGTATAGGTTGTTCTTTCAGACAGTTTAGTGATGACGTTGGATATCCGTAGCGTTGTGGCTACTGACGTAGTTAGTGAATCTGTATGGTAAATGAAACACAATGAGTGATTTCCTCTGTGATTAGTATGCATGGCCGTCGTGGGGATTCCGGAAAAGAATACACGAGGTTCCCAGAAACCGTCGCTGGTCTTAAAGGGGCACTGATCTAACGGACTGGTTGTTGCCTTTGTTATTGTTTTCCCCCCGTGAGTACCCGGATGATACGCAACGCAACTGAGCGTGACCAGAGACTGGGGTACCGTCTGCAAGGACAGCTAAATAAACTTGGAGGCTGGAGGCAATATTTGTTTTACGCATTTTTGAACACTGATTGGTTAACTGTGATCTATAAAGATTTCGACAAGGGGCGCATGTTAATTAATTTCTTCAGCCTAAACAAACAGACAAAAAGAACAAAGGAGCTCATGGGATGTCGTCATTTGGAAATACCCCAGATGGTTATAGTTTAATACTAAAAACAAGTATCCATGCAGTGAAAGCATTTTCGGATTTCGGCTTGCGTCGATAATACGATCACTACTCCCTTGTTGTCATCCACGTTTTCTCGTATAACCGTACACTTGTGTATTTGTCGTCATTCACTTGATGCTCAGTTAATGAATTTATTACAGGTACAATTAGTGGTAGCACCACTTAGATTACCTGACAAAGATTCCCATTTGGCATTTATTGTGTCTGGGGTAATTATTCAATCTAAATCCAGGTTTGAAGTGAGGTGAAATGTGTGTTATGTAATATGCACGTGGCAGCCCAGCAAGAGGTGAATGATCAGTTGATTTTTTTGTTGTTGTAAATCAACGGATCGTTCCTAGTCATCAAAGGATTAACAGAAAATACGTTGATTGATTAATCACTGTTATCTTGCACAGTGGATATGTCAAGAGTGAGTGTTTACATGTCTAGGTTTACTAAAACAAAGGGAATACACTCATATCATGGCGCGAAGTGCCGATGTAAAAACAACATACTTTGTTCAAAGGATTAACTGATAATACGTTGATTGATTGATCATTGTTATCTATCACTCAATGGAATTTTTAGGAACAGTGGACGTTATGAAAATAGTTGTCACGTGGGCTTTCTCAGCCAACCATTGAGACTTGACACCTATGTAAAACACCTGAAATAATCCAAGCGATCAGTTGATAAAAACGAACACGGGTTATAATATCCCGAAACGATATATATCTTTTAAAATATTTGACACGTGACATCGAATGAGTTTCTTTGTACAGCTGCAGACGAGTGGGATATATTGTTCCTTTGTGTGGATATTCACGGATACATTCTTCGAACAAGGAAGCTGCCAAAAAACTTATACACATAAATTTGGTAGGTTGTAATTATGATATTTGCATTTTGTTTTCCTTTATTTGAACCGATTCGTTTTTGTTTCTCTACGTCTTGGTTGGGAAATTCTTCAATGCGCGATAGACGTTGTTGTCACAGGTCAAAAGCGTGTATATATTACCGTCAATTTGTAAAATGTGATTCTCTCAGGCAATTTATAAAATGTGTAAATATTTCAGTCATTTTGACTAAAAAATCTATCCAGATTGATCAAGACGATCAAAAGGGCCTACAAACATCACAACAGATTATTATGTAGGATTAAAAGCCAAACAACTTAGAAATGTACTTTTCAACGTAACATTTTCAGTCTCTTGGTGATGACATTAAACATCAAAATGTTTGGAATTCGTTGTCATAATAATACCGATGGAAATGTTTTTCAGTCACTTTGTAAAATAACTGAATATTTAGACGTTTAATAAATTTGTGACACATTTGACAATAAAAAAATATACACACTATAAAAAAAAGCATATGCTCAGGAGAAATATTTACTTTGTGTTGCAAGTCAAAATAGTGTAAACGAAAATCGCAAAATTACCAAGCAATTGACTTATCAAAACTTCGTCACCATTACCGATGCTACTCACAAAGATACCTACATTTCCTTATTATCTCGAAAACTGTATTTCACTTTATTGATCAATGTGACCATACGCCCTTATTACTACCCATAAAAGTGACTAATGCGCTTACGAATGGCGCAGCAGAGGTCGCGAACTAGTCTAGATTTCTGCTATACATCCGGGTACTCACTGGGAAAAAACAATAACAAAGGCAACAACCAGTCCCGGGGAATTGCGTTAGATCAGTGCCCCTTTAAGAGGCGTCCAAATGGATCGTTGTGGTCAGGCTCGGTGACTTGGTTGATTGTGTATCTACGTACCCTGATGGCGTGGATCGTTGCTAACAAATAGCAATCACCGGATTGTCTGTTCCAGTTTCGATTATTTACAAACCGCCATCGTATAACTGCAATAATAGTAAGGCAAACAAACACACAGAGACCAAATCAAACTATTTCTCGACCTCTTAACAGAATAGGAACAATGGATAGGGATAGAAGTTGAGTTCTCGTTACTAATTAAACATGGGACAGGTCGCCCTGTCTTTTCATTCAGTCAGGCTCTCGGATTACACCTTCTGGAGTAGTGCTGTACTGATGTTTTAGCATATTGTACGGGGCAGTCTATGTCAGCTATTGCGTGTTAATTAGATACAGACTCAGGAAAACTCAAGCTAATAACACTGTTGCCATGGACCACACTAGTCTTCTGAAATGCGTGTCATCACAAATGTTCATACTCATACCCACGCAAATAATATGGTAATCCAACTGATCACCGTTGAGAGGGTCATGAAACATCCTCATCAGGGGACGCTCACCCATAGAAGTCAAAGGTGTACTTGTTGTTGCTGCAGTGGTCAGTGTTTCCAAAGTACTTGGACTGGTTGTACCTTGTGAACGTGATGGCTGCTGTGTTGGCGTGGGCGATAGGGTGGTTGATACATCTAATGTTTGTCGCCCAGTTATGTTCATTTGACCTGAAGCTGTGAACAATCATTTCTGTAGCAGTCTCTAGGTTCGAGTTCCATGTTGATCTTAAATAAGTGATGCGACTTCTGGACACGGGGGAAACTAGCTGACCATAGAGTTGTAGGTCATGTCATTTATTTACTGAGGAACTTGTTACCATCCAAATAACTCTGAATACAGTATAATATATGTTGAAACCTACTGCGTGCCAGTCAAGTCATCATATTTTCTTAGTATATTACGGAAAATTGTTAAAAGATGGTTTCTCTTCATTATGGCTACACTGTACTTTTCTTTTGATGGAACCAGCAGTTCTGGAGAGGCTGTCACAATTGTATTTTTCAATATAATACATTGAACAAATCAGAAACTATGTATATTTTATTGACAGTATATATTGGTTCATGAAAGGAATTTTATCATTAAATTGATCACACTGGACTAGATTGAAATAATTACACGTTTTCTCGGAAAGCGAGGCAATATTCAAATCAAGACCGGCAGATTCTATTTGTTAATTTATTGATAAATTGATGGTTATCAAATAAGGAGACACATCAAAAGATAAATTTGATGTATACTCTCATACATACCAGAAACACGTATCCATACATTTGACCCATTCTGATAATGGTTATCGTAGACTATTACTACTTCGGCAGCTGTTCCCGGCAACACCCTGTTGTATTGGTCTACGTTCAAGTTTGTCCAGGGTGTTCTCCCGCCAACTGATATGTTAAGCATCCCTGTCTTTATCCGCTGTTCTGCCAATGTTACTCGTATATTCTCCCCTGTGATCCTGACAACACAGCTGCCGTTCCCACCGACACTGTCAGGGAATCCCGGGGAATGGAGATACACCGACCCGTTTACTGTTGTGCTGACTGAACTACACATATCCATACTTCCTGAAACACAACGCATATAACAAGTAGAACAACTTACATGCTAGTATTTAAATTAGTGACATATTGTATCATAACAGGTCATATAAAGCAAATTGCTCCCATGTATTCTTGATTTCGTTTTGGCGCCCGGTTGATCAAGGCTGAAGCTGAAACACTTATGGATCACTGGAAATGGTATAGCATTATTACCAGGGTCACACTCAGGTCATGATGCAGGGGACAGTTGGCATGTAGTTCTAGTCAGCTGGCATGAGCGTCTAGTCAGGCCCTAGTCAGGAGGTTTAATCAGTTTGCAATATCCTTTGGGTGTTAATTACAAAACATATACTATAATTGATGGCAATGGTGGTGAAAGATGTTATGAAAGCAGTCCAGTATTCGTACGCGCTTCTTGTTTTGTTATGTCATCAATCACAAACAGAAGTCGGTGCAATTAAGCACTTACTAGGTAACGAAATATGGTACTCATACACGTGTAACCTTGACGTGTCACGATGTATTAATGAATATTGTAACGAACATTATAATGATAAGGAAGATAATTTTTGGATGTCAACTTCTTTATCATGAGGAACACATGTACAACATTTTCGGAGTATATGCTTACTCCGTCATCAGGTGAATAATAAGTTTACTGTCTTGCAATACATGTGCGTGTACTGTATGTCAGTTACATGTTGTCATGTTCCGATCTCCAAGCAGAGATTCCATCCACGAGACCATGTAGTCCATCATAAGACTAATCAGTAAGTCTTGCAAAGACATCAACAGGCCAACATACCATGTTGCAATGACATCAACAAGCTACAGACGATATACACTGGTCTTGTTGTTGCGTTAACTTTATTTTTTCAAAACATATTTGTGTGTTGTACGTCAGTTACGCATTGTCATGTTGAGATCGAACCACCAATCTTCCGCTCACCATGCAGACGCTCTATCCCTAGACCATGGAGGCAGTCCGTCATAAAGTTCATGAGTCAGTCTTGCAATGACTTAACTAACATTCTTTACTAGTCTTAATCTATTCCTGCAGTGTTTCATAGCAAACTTAAGAATCTATCAGCTGTTTGTTTTTTGTTTAACGCCGCACTCAGTAATATTCACAACGGCGATCCGCAAATACTCTAGTCTGGTCTATACAATCCTGTGACAGACATTGTGAGCATCGATCTACGCAACTGGGATACGATGACCTACATCAGCCATGTCCGAGAGTCTCAACTATCTTTCTAGAAGCATTGATTGCTGAAGACCAATAATAACCCGTATCGTCATGAGAGCTCTCAATTGTAATATAAACGTGGAATTATCGCCGCCTTAAACAATATTTCAGTTATATAACAGGGTATCAGCCTGATGTGGTGGGAAAGCTCGACGTAATACAGGTCTTGGGAGCTTACCACTTTGGTGTAACCCACGAGCACTGGTATGGTACAAAGGAAACTAAAAACAATCATAGAAGATCTTAGGTTCACGGGTTTCTGACACTCAAATTGCAACAGAGTGACCCAGGACCTCTTATTATAATCTATATTTTAAAACTTCAGGCTAGAAGCTGAAAAACTCAAATGCACAACATTACACTAATCTCTCTCCATCTGTTTTCACATGGATAGAGACAGGTAGTATATTTTCCATTTGTATCAACACGTACAAATGTAACGCATAAATTCTTCCGATCCTTGCGACTTGTATGGGTGTTAAGGTATTCTACTCCAATAATCACCTTGGGGTAAATACATGTTTGGATGTATCGTGTGATCTGCAAACAATAAGAAGGATTGCTAAGAACGAGGTGAGATGCTGTGCACGTCCAGATCGAATGTCCATGAATGGCATCACATAATGTGACATATCAACGATTGGTAGAAAACAGAATATACCTTTTTTCATGAACGTAAAATTTGTTTTCTTCTAAAATTCACATATGCATTTATGACTACTTGGTTTAATATCTACAATCATACATGTTTTTTTTTAAATTGAATCAGTAACTCTTTATTAAAAGCAAACCATGTTAATTGTATCAGTTTGACCAGATACTAAATGTGCGTCTCACCTTTGATACAGTTGTACTGTACTTCAGCAGCAGCATCTGTGTAGTTACAGTTTGTTTGGGGTATTGCGGTCAAGGGTTCATGGCATGACTGTTTCCCATTACAGATGACAATCAGGCCATTTTGACTGTTGGTGTAAACCTTACTGCACGCCTGTGCTGATATCAGGCGACATGTCGCGGCGTCCCCATCCCCATGCGCCTTTTGCTCGACATGTATCCATTCACCGGCCGAACACTGAAGCTGTACTGTGAAGGTCCTCGACAACCCCACAATACATCTGTTCCCAGTTCTAGTGTCGCCTTTGAATATATTATAACTCGTTCAAATATACTTCGCTAAATAAGATCAAAACGTTTGTAACTGCCGTGTACAAAAGCTGTAATCATTCATTATCAAATAAAACATTAGTGAGAAATCATATTATGGGAATACACAATATGCAGCTGTTTAGTGGTTTATTAAGAGCTTTCAGTTCTCATAAGTAACTAGTTATGGTATATGCTCATAAGTAAATCACGCAAACGAATCCCGTTGTACTTTACATAAGTGATGCATGACTGACATTTCTAAGTCTGATTCCCCTCTTACATTATCCCGTAGAAACTTGTAATAATCTCGAAAGTATATAACCTATCAGGAATTTAGGATCGCATTTGCGCAAATACAGTATTGACTCGTATCTCCACATCTAATACTACGAAAGCCTATTGAGGTCAAAATTGAAATATGGAAAAGGACACGAACTGAAATTCGTTATAACGGAAAAAAGATTCGTTATTACGGAAACAATTTCGTTATTACGGGAAAAAGATTCGTTATTACTAAAAAATGATTGTTATAACGAAAATAATTTCGTTATAACGGAAAACAATTCGTTATTACGGAAATAATTTCGTTATAACGAACCTTTTTTCGTAATGACGAATCTTTTTTCCGTTTGTATCTGTTTGAGACCCCTTTCTGTTTCCTAGATACATAGTGCAGCAACACTGGTAAATGTAAATTTTAGTGCGCTGTTACATTCCGTGACATCAAGGGGGTAGAACATTTGAGCTTTTGTATTGTTGTATACTTAGTCTTGTACTTTCAGTCACAACAAATCACAGGTACTATAATCATATCGCAACCGCTGTCGAAATTTCTGGGTCTTATTCTACGATTCATAAACAAACGAACAGTATTGCCACTTTTATAATATTGAAATCTGATGAAAATATACATCGTAGTTGCCAAAATGAACAATGCAACCCATACTCAAGTAAACAAGCCAAATGAACGTATATATGTCTTATACTCACCGTGTACAGCCAATAAGAAATACACGCAAAGCACAAATGCTCTTTCAGCATGCATAGCTGTTAAATCTCAGTCCTCAGGAGCACACTACGCCGACTCTATTCAGGCATTACATGTCGTTAAACTGTTGTGCTTAGTATGTAGCAAGTCGCCTGTTGGAATGTCCCATAGATTCGCAACTGAATCACAGGCAATGTCCACAACTTTCGTAGGTTCATGTCAGCACGTAATCACTCCTGAGACATCTTCAATGTGTCAATTGCCGTTCCCATGAATCATCCGGGTATACAGGAACACCTACCACCTGAGACTTACACATATCACACAGGCGAAAAGTAGTGTTTCAATGTAAGCTGAAAAATGAAACGTTATAACCAGGACAATGTAAACACGAACACAAAAACCTCACCAGGTAGCTTGGAATTGCTGATAGCAAATATGCATGAGTAAACTCAACTTCTGACATGACATGACATGGCATAACAAAACAACACGTACCTACGAATACCGGACTGCTTTCACCGCCATAGCCATCAACGAACAGGGAAGTAAAATGACTGTAAACATGTATGTTTAATGTAGCGTACATGTAACTATATGTGTAAAGCACATTGTCCTTTTCTCATCGGCCAGGTCGACTCTTGCTATACAGCAGAGAACTTCCTTGTGCTTGTTTTGTATTCCGGTTCAACAATGGTTATTTTGCAAAGTATTGTTGACATTAGCATTCTGATAGCTAACAATCGGCTGGGGATTGGGGATGTGAGGAGGGGGTTGTGGTGTGTGAGCAGAGTTAGGGGTAGCATGTGTGTATGTGTGCGTGTGTGTCGGGGTGGTGTGGGGTTGGTACTGCGACTGAACTGGTTTTCATGCTGGATGGTTGTGCATACGTTGTATACATCGAAATGTGACATGCATTACTACTTAAACATCCACCATGAGCAGGTTATGGTACTTCAAATGAGGCGGAAGGTATGGAACTATCAATTTCCAGTGTTGAACTGATTATAGACGTGTGCTTGCAGTTGTGGGCATTTGATAATGGGTTAGTAATAACAATCATTATGTTATATAGGCAATATATTAATTGTCTCACATATACCATAAACAACTACTAAAAAGAATGTTTTGTAAAATGGAGATAACTTCCCATGTCCGTCACTGTGACATCATGTTAAGCGCGTAACAATAATCTAAATACTCGAGGATTGTGTGTGTGTTTGTTTTGTGGCTGATGGATAAAACATATTATAAATCATCTTCAGTGGGAGAGTAATTTAGGACCGATGATGGCGGGAAAACATAGGAACTATGACTCTCTGAGGTGAGTAAGCGTTAGGCTTACTGAATATATTGACGGAAAACTGTGTTTCGGAAGTTATTTCGACACAGTTTTTACGATACATCAAATGTTTACAATAGTGCTTGATACCAGCCGTGTGTTCGTGTGATGAAGCAGTTTAAATGTATGACCTTGATATTGTTCATTCAAAATTGACACAACGGGCATATATATATCCACGTATAGTCCATCATCTTCTTTATATCAGTTTCATACATAGTACTTTCGTGTAACTGACAATGACATAACATAGATATATACAGGTCATATGAGAGGATAACTTTAGAATGATGGCAGGCGTTATTACACATATAAGATAACATAAATAGAATAATGTGTGGTATATCTAATATGTAAGAGAAACCTTGACATTCATTGAAAATTGACACAACGGGCATATATATATATATATATATATATATATATATATATATATATATATATATATATATATATACGGATGGCGGCCAAGATATTCAAAGAATAGACACTGTCAGTTCAGATATTGTTATCTGAAAAAGGTAAACTACAAATATATACAAACATGGTTCCCTCAATTGTAAGCAATATAAGAAACCATTATCAGTGTATGAGAAATGCGTGTGACAGCTTTCAGCAGTTGTGATGTACATGGATACATGGGTTCAGACATAGGTTATTGTGGTGACATGACCCTTTTGTCCATTGTAAACAATCTTTAATATTGCTAAGTTATATTTCCTAGATTTCCGTAAAAATATGACAGTGTGTTCCAAATTTGTTTGACTGCGATGGTACCGCGTGTAAGTATATAAAACAAGTGGAACAAGACAATGTTGACTTTCTGACAAGTGTTGCTGGAATGAAGGTATTCAGTGCAATATTGCAATAGAAGACATTGTGACATTTGCGGGAAAAGCATGACATAACACAACGTTCGAAACATACTGCATGATATATTCAGAGAACCAATTGTCACAGAGCTATCATACCAGGACAATGTTGGCCATGCATTTACATATCAATGTAAACGTGACTTAAAGGAAAATTTTGTTTTGTGTCATAATTAATTCTCTACATATGTTTGCTCATTTGCTCTTGAACACCACGTCTGTCATCAATTTATCATTCTTTATTTCGTATCAAGTTACTTATCATTAATAACATTGATGCAACTGTGTGAATAATGTAGATAGTTTCCATCATAGGAATGAATACAGTTAAGTCCACGAGGACGCGATGTCTTAGCGTTTATATGGGTCAGACCCCGAGACGCGGGATCCGAGTGGCCTTACCGTCTTAACCTCTCACCATCACTAATTAAGAGTGATTAAAAAACACGCGATTATTATATATACAATGGATTATAGAAGTGTCGCTTATATTTCCATGTCTATGTTAGCCTTTGGGCGAGACCCCTGCCGGTGTCCCGGTATAAACTCTCCCCCGTACAAATTCTCCCCCCGGAGATTTTATACCGGTACAGATTCTCCCCCGGAAAATCTGTTCTGAAATAAAATTTCCCCCGGGCGGATATGTTTCGCGCCCCCCTCAGTATAAAGTCTCCCCCCTGATTATTCGGTTTGTTGCAATGTCTTTAAGTACTATATTCTTTAAATAGTTATCTTTAATGTAAGGAGGGTTACTTTAAAAAATAGATTATGAAATATGGTCATAATGAATTGATATTTCAGCATATTTTATTTGGTAAATGTACCTTCCATCCTAAAATAATTATAAGACATAATCATACCAAACAAATTTGAATGAAATGACTTAATGTAACAAATACATGTACGCTTACTGTTGTAACAGAATTCAGAAACCTTTAAATCCTCGCAAACATTCGGTTTTAACACTAACTACGTAAAAACTGTCAATATATCCACGCGCGCCTCCAGCCCAGGCTGTCCGTAAATACTCTGATTTTAGATCTAAAATATATTCCTTAATACAGGCTACGATATGAAAATGGTATCAGTGTAATATCAGTGGCTAGAATATCATGGTGCAAGCAGGTTTCTGTTAAACATACAACATCATAACTATCTAATTCAGCACTGATAAAATCTACTTTGTCTTTAAGACTGCGTACGTTTAGATATATAATCTTTAAATCTGGACTATGCAAAGGTCCTGGATTCGGATGGATATCATCGCATCAGAAGAGAAAAAGTAAAACTAAGAATGATAATCGGAAATTATATAAGCAAAGTAACCCAAAAAATAATGAAATGTGTATCATCTTCCCGAAATGATTAGCATGTAGAATAGATTAAAAAACACCCACTATCAGCCTGTATTGAACAACATCAACCGGCATCGACAAAGTAAAGTGATCATGTAATTGTTACAATCGGGCTGGCGGTGAATCTGAGAAGGGATTCATACGTTATATACAACTTAAAAAAAATATGATTATGAAAAACGAAAGGAAAAGTGCCCTCCCACACCTGAAAAGAAACCCCCCCCGCAAAATCAATAAAAATAAAAATAAACAAATAAAAACAAACAACCACACACACAAGTAACTAAATGTATATTTAGATTAATATATAACCCAGAAAAAATAAAGGAGAGAAAAAAATAAATAAAAAATACATAAACAAATAAACATTAAAACCTAGAGGAATATGAAAATGTGTAATGCTAAAGCACGACGACACGATAAACTGTACCAACATTACAATGTTCCCCGTTATGCATGCTTTACCTGGATTACATACGGGTGATCTAAGTTAGAAATATATGACTGATATAAATTCTTTAAACACGGTAATATCGAATATGCTTGGATTATCTTTTTTTTCAAATGTGCTCCATTCAAGAAAAGTTATATAGAATTATATATTTACTCTCCCCCATGTATTTTGCTCTTTTATGTAAAAGCTTTTTCACCTTACACATTTTAATTACAGATTCCTATGTTTTGATTTTAATGCAAACAAACCAGGCTTTTGAAATGCTATACAAAAACTATGCTTAAAAGTTTACAGAGTTTGTTGTTTCTAATACAGTTTTTGTTGTCTGTATACATTTTTTTAATATACCAGTTTGAGTCTACGTGTGAACACAATCGATGGTTGAAATGTAAGTCTAAGAACAAAACATGAACTAATTCTCAAGAACTCTGATGTATAAAGTTACCTTCATCTTTGATTGACTGATGTATTTTCAATCTTTATTCAGCACTGAAGAGGCCACAGGCCTATAGTACGAAGCATTAAGTTTATGAATAATCAGCATTGATTTTGACTCCATAAACTGTCATAAAGTATTCATAAAGTATCAGGGGTCATTTCAACTTGCAAAATTATTGACATACCCCTTTATAGAGCGAGGATTGGGCTGTTTTCCCACCCGATTGACTGATATTACAACATTCACATGGTTTAGAACGGTACAATGAATGGTAAAGCATGCAAATTACACTAATACACGATATTTCATAAGAAAACATCATATCTCCGTTAAAACATAAAACTAATATTTATGAATCTACATATTGATATAAGACTTTATCACTGTATCCAATCCCAAAATAGATATAAACTTTCGGACAGTTCAGTTCAAAATTCTTCAACCTTTAATACATCACAGGATTTGTAGCTAGACGACGGGAATCTACAGTCTTGACTGTGTGTTTTCTTTGATGAGAATGTTTCTCACCGACCTTAGCGTGTAGGGGTGTGATATCCTGGGCAGGAAATGACAGTGTTTTGACATTATTTAACGTGTTGGACATCCCTAATTACCCTTTACTAATTCATGTTAAACCAACACAGGATGTTTTCTGGAAGTGGACAATCGCGAATGCCATAGGGCTGACACGACACGTGTTAATAACTGTCCTAGAACTTCTAAAGTTACTAAACAATCTTTATACCTAACGACTAGCATATAAACTAAACATCGTCTCTATCAGAAGCCAGCTAAACAACCAAACAATCAAATTTCAAAAACAAAACAAATTCTTAGGACTTATTTTCGATGAACATCTCACCTGGGATGCTCACATCCAAAACCTAACTAAATGCAGTAAAGACCTAAACACCCTAAGATGCCTAACTGGCTCTAACTGGGGAGTTTGAATACTATTCCTGTTGTTTTTTCTGAGTTAAGGGAGAAGCCCCATTTGTCAGCCCATTGTTGTATTTTATTTAGAGATTTTTGGAGTAAATTTTGGGCCATTTTAATGCTTTTAGTGC